CACATTTGAGTTTCCGTTCATATATTATTTTCGCGTGGGCCATCTGGCGTACAATGAACTAAAGACACACTGTCTGCCGACATCCCCCGCGGTAACTATGCATACGTGCACCAACAATGTTCCACAAATAATCTCTGGAGTTGCATGCATTCCAAACAATTTAAATGCAAAAGGAGAGCGCGGAGAAAACAGAGCTGATCTCATTATAATTATGTGGATTATACATATGCGGGCATTGCGGGTAACTTCAAGACAGGTCGCGAGGCGGGTCAGTGAAGATCGACGACCCAGAAACGAACAAACGGAGCCGTGATCCAGCTTTTCGATAGTCCCACGCGATGACGCAACTATTTGCAAGTTGATTTTCAGATATTTTGCCAAACCATGTTCCAAATTACATAGTATTAATTTGCTTTATAGTTATTATGAGTTACGAGCAAAAAATATAGCAATAAATAATAAACTAAAATACAATGTCAAATTTAATAACAAAATGAGGGAACATTTTTCGGTGTTAAGAAAATCAATAGACATGAGACGATTTTTTTTAGTAAGTTGGTCTCTATCTCTATTGCTCTTAAAGCATAATGCCCCCACTGAAAAATGTATTTCATATTTATAATCTTGAAAATGTGGAAATCCGTCGAAACTTATAAGTATGTTGAAAAATTGTATTTCATTTTCCTATTTGATATCAAAAAGCCTCTTCAAAAAATCAATTCCTGCGACACCGAAATCTGTGTTGAAAATTTACACGGAAGACGATAATTTTTAGAACTAAATTCTAGAAAAGACAGTCAAGCTTTTGATTGAAATAAAATAGTATCGTTTTCACAGTTCGAAATTCTTTTTATTCAACTTCAATGAGATTATGACGGATTTAAAGATTCCAATTCTTCTTTATGTAACTATGTAGTTGTTTATCTGTAGTTTTTCCTGGCAATTTTTTTAACTAAATTGTCCATGAAATATCAATCGGAATAATTCTAATATCCTCTAAACTAGGGCTGCACAGACATAAAATACAATCTCAGGAAAGTCATACAGTTTTCAAAAGATAAATATTAGCAAACCATACTGTTAATGTCGAAAAATCAGTCTCTCAAGGCTATCAAATAAGCAGAATAAAGACAATTGCTTACCCGCAGCACTCAACACAACAATAGCCAGTATGTAGGGTACACGAACACCATAAAAATCTAGCTTCCTCTGTGACTCACGTAAAGCATTCAGTCCTTCTAGTCCAACAATGAAAGCGGTAACCATAAAACATATCGAGTTCCTTTGATATATCGATTTGAATGCACTTCTGATAGTTTAATATCATATAAACAACACTAAGAAGAAATTCAAGTAACGACATAATTTGAATGTAAAGTATAACAATTTTTATTGAGAAAATTAAAAACTGATCCAAAAAAGAAAATACCAAGGGGACGAGCTTAGACTATGGGCGCCGTTTGAACGGAGTTTTAATTTTATCTCTAATAACGATAAAAATCTCATAAAAAAAATCACCAATTTGTGCAGTTAAGTACGATAATGTGGATAACTAATGAATTTTTATCGCCCGAGCATCTGTATAATAATGGAAGCTGACCGATTCACAGTCAAGGTAAAGACAAACTATTGGTTTAGGTATTTGAAATTTGCATAGGGGTCAATTGTAGGAGGTCTAAGAAGGATAATCGAATTTCTGTCTCGAAAATTGGTAATTGTTTTTCTGATTATCTATACTAATAAAAAGAACCTATTCAATCCAAACAATGAAATCAAGTGAATCAGTTACAAAAATGTCCATTAAGTTTTAATAACGACTATAAGTTTTAATGAATGTTCTTAACTTGAAAATTTGTATGAGTAATGTGGCATTAAACTAATGACGTTTGTGCAACTAGCTGAGCTATCAATTACACGGGGGAAAATCGCGGGAAAACAGCTAGTTTAAAATAAAATGGTACCAATTATACGGTTCAAAAATTACCTACTGATGCTTTAAAATAGTCTACAGACAACGGAATTTTGGAAAGTATTCTGTGGATTTGTTTGTAAAGTTTACACAAAATTACATTTTTAAACAAGCGTACGTTGTTTACGCCCAAATTAAGATTGTTCCACATCTATACTAATATTATAGAGGAAACATTCGATTGTTTGTTTGTTTGCATCAAATAGGCTCCGGAACTACTGGATAGACTTTAAAAATTATTTCCCCTACATCAGCTACATAATAAGGGGTTGACATAGGCTATGATTTACGCGTGCGAAGTCGTGGGACAATATATATTATATATTATAAGGAGGAATGATTTGATTGTTTGTTTGTTTGCATTTATACTTCCGAAACTAGGATCCACTTTCAAAATTCTTTAATTTACGGGAAGCTATATTACACGCACGGCACGATATACACACATGGCTGATAAAGGCTATAAGTATAATATACGCGGGAGATGTCGCCGGACAACAGCTAGTCATAAATTTTTTAAAAAGTTGCTTGATCGCATCGTTACTTCGAAACTGCGAATCGTTATATCCTTGAAACTTGAAACCGTGTGACTCATAAAAATGGCACCAAGCAGCAGTGACTGTTAAACCTGGAATTTATAATTATTACAAAACAGGTTTGAAACTCAGAGCAAAAAGAGTTGCATATTCTGCATACACAAAAGTATGATTCGTATCATTTAAGTAATTTAAATAAATGGTAAAGCACCAATCAGAAAAAAAAAATCACCTACTAACAAAGTGCACCTTCGTGTGCGTGCGCGTGCGATCTTAGATACGAAAGTTAAGCGAAATAAGTTTTTCCCTCTCTTTTTTTCGTTAAGTATATTTATTAATTTAATGCACTAACCCCCTATATTTGTTAAGGTTGCCTGGTAGCAATTGCTACCCTAGCAATAACACCACCTTTTGCATATATGTTCATTTCTTTTGTTTTTAGTGCAATAAATTATTAATCAATCAATCAACTGGCTATATGTCTTTCAAACGTATTAATCGTATGTATTGCGATTTTTCATGCACAATGGCCCGATTTGTGTCCAAGTGCGGAATATCGGAGCCCCCTAACCTAATGTATGTATGAGGGAGAACTTATGTTATCATTAGTAATAGCTTTATTAAAAAAAATATTGTGCATAGAAAGCATTAAGATACAAAGAGAAATTAAACATTCATTTATTTATTTAAGTATTTGGACCTAACTAAAATGCATAGATATTTTTTTTATCCTCCTGTGTTGCACTAAATCCTTATGAAATCAGAGCTCTCAAACCACTAGAGCCAACCATAAAAGAAGCAAGTTCTAAGTGACACTGGCCTACCTGATAAAACTTGCAACAGAACGCCCACAAGTAAGGGGGTTTTTTTTTTTTTTTTTTTTTTTTTTATTTGGATTAAGTAAGGGGGTAATACAAAGAAAACAGTTTACACTTTTAAATTTAACAGAGTTCAAAAACAGTTTGGGATAATTTTCAGTGTTATGATAATTAAAATTAGTTTAAATTTTTAGAACTATATTTTTTAACATAATGAATACTTCCTTTTTGAATTTAAAATTAAATAGTTCATATGCACAAAACTCAATAATCATTTTTAGCTGTCATTATATTTTAGAATTGCTTGTAAAGTTGTAACTATACTCCATTCATTATAGCATTAGACAGAAGTTAAATAAGGTTCTTTTTGTGGTATACTTTGTGACAAAATATTAACAATCATGTTACTCTTAAGACTGACGGCTTATTTGCTACATATCCACTTAAATACCAGCTGCTATGCTTAACAGTTGTCGTTTAAGTTATCTGTTTAACAAAATTATGAGTATTTGACAAACTTAAAAGATTTAATAACTTTTACAATAAAAAGTGTTCATCTTAAAGAACCTAGAGAAGCAGGGTTGGATTGTCTCGGCACGATTCTCATGTCACTATAACTCTACCAAATTTAAAACGTTGCTTAATCCATTCAAACGTTTCGGTAGAACAGCTTTTTAATTTTGTCAGATTATGATGTATTCATAATAGTCAAAATACGTAATCTGGGATTCTCATTAATTGTGAATGTCATTGCCTTTTTTGTTATTTTACCGTTTTCTGTGATTGTATTATTGTTGTTTTCTTATAGTTTTGTTTTAGTTGTTATCTTTTTTAAGTTAAGTTTTGCTTAATATGGACGATTCCAGTGCAGGTCCGAATTGCCTACAATAATTACCTCTGAGATTTCAGGAAGTTTTTCCAATATCTTAATCAATAATCTAATAATATCTGAATAAATGTTATAAAAGTAATAGTAAAAATTTCATTTTGTTTACCTTTCTTTCCTGGGCATAAACATAACTAAATTCTATTCTAATTATACACTTACAATTAGAATTTATCAAAACAACAGATAGATAGTTATAGTTCCATATTGGCTTGGGAGTAAAAGATGAATTTAGAAAATTCTAGACTCATCGCAAAAGAAAATGGAAAATTGCCCAACTCTTTCAGACTACCTATTGTTCAAAGTTTCAACAAAACTATTATATATATCTATAAAATTTATCTTGAAAATAAAATGTTATGCACTGCTGCTTCTGTGATCCTCTTTTTTCTAATGTTATAATGAATGGAGTATAATCCTAATGAAGATTTTATATACCCAACAGAAGTTTCGTAAGATTTATTTACCATGAAGTTTTAACATGCTTCCATTCTAATTTCAAATAGACCATATGACAGAACCTGTAAAATCCAAGCTACCTATTCTAGAGTCAAACGTTTATGTTAGTAGGCTTTTTTTAGAGAATGTTTAAAACAAAAATTAAGATCATTCAATTTACGATCATTTTTAATGATAAGTGAAATTACGAAGAGGACTTTTATATAATTTTTAAACGCCTTGAATAACCTCCTCGTTGACGGGATCAACTAAATAATTCTACTTGTTTCAGGTAGCTAGAAAACAAATTCTGTATGTTTTATGTAGTAATTTGTATTACAAACGATACTTACTTCTTCGATGACGTTTCTGTCTTAATTTCTGTCATTTTCGTTGTGACAATTATTCGACTAAAAGCACCAAGAAAGTATCATTATATTATATGTTTATATTGTAAGAATAGGGTAATGTTTATAACATCCAAACACAAAAAAAAAACATCAAAACAAAGATTTCTTCACGTATTTTAACACTGATTTACGTTAAATAGTACTACACAAACAAAACACATTTCCGAATCCCAATCCAACGATCACCACAGTTCCGTGTATCCATCACACTTCAAATCCATAGAGTTTACAATACATTAAAAAACCACAACGACATTTTGTTATCGGTGTTGCCACCATAAAATTTTTTTAATTGCCTAGTGTTTTGGGGGAATCCAGACAGATTGCGGTATTTTATAATATTTATTGCTGATTTCACTTGATAATTTTCCATATATATTACTCTAACTTTGCTAAAAAAACTCTAAATACAATATCGCTTCAAAATTTCACTCAAAAATCGTGTATATTTATTAAAACAGTTATTAAAATAATTGATTATAAAATATACATCATCATCAGCATCAGCCCTTTTAGGTCCACTGCAGAGGCTCAAGCCTTCCTTACGAATGGAGAACCACCAAACCACATTGGGCGAGCGTGGAGGACCCTCAACCAGTGGTTTAGTGGGTATAACCGACTGCACCGTATCAACGGCTTAACGTGCCTTCCGAAACACAAGACCAAGAGTAAAATATATAATCCCCACAAATTGCGAAAACGCCTAGATACCATTTTAGTAACGTAATCTATTGACAATACCGTTAACAAATAAACACGGAGTGGCAAGAACATAGTGGGTTGTGTTGTAATCACTCACTGTTATTGTCATATTTTTTTATTTTGTTATTAGTATTACTCGTTATGGTTGACTAAAATAACAACTGCTTTTATGATGTGTAAACACTGATTACATAAAAATTGAATATATATGATATGTCTTATCTCATCGTTACTTTTGGCTACGTTTTAAAAAATATTCTCTCCTCTAGTTTTCGTTTTATTAATAAAATATTTTTTCATCACTTATATACACAATATTAATTAACCATGTGTTAAAAACCAATCTAATTTCTACGTTATATGGCAATTTTCCGTTTATAAGGTAACACAATTGTATTTTTTAACATTTCGAATAGCATGGGAATCTATATCCATTGAACCACATTAATTTATACTATTTGTATTAGAATACAGATGTATGTAGGTAATTTAAAAAACTACATTGTTGGCTCTTATTATTAAATAAGTACACGAGAATTAAATTATTAGTGCTGTTCCATATTATTGACACTACCATAATTATTATATACTTATTTCCTTAAATACTACAATGGATGGTCATATGAAAAAAACAATTTAATTACTGAAAGTATAGGCTCCAATCGCGAGAAGTTCGGCAAACGTAAAATGAATCGATTTTTTCTTCAAGTTGCTATAGTAACTCTGCTTTGACAACAAACTCATGGCCAATGGCCGCGTTCAAAATTCCTGTTGTTTATACTGTCAATCTGTCATGTTGCAATGCAACCGCTAAATATATTTTTTATTGATTAAACTTTTAGTTATTCGTGTGTTAAATGTAAGAAGTACATAGTAGATAGGGGTGATATAGAAAAAATGTTTAAGAACACTTTTCAGTCGGGTTTCCTGTCAATTCTTTACAGCATAGGCAGCAAACCGTTGCAAATTTGGGACAAAAAGGTTAGAAATGGGCACATAAAAAGAATAACAGACAATGATATACAGAGCTTAGTGCTTGAAATTGTCGGTACCAATGTTAGTACAACATACATCACTTGTCCGGCGGATCCGAAGAAGACCCTCGGTATCAAACTGCCCTTTTTGGTAATGATCATTAAAAATCTCAAAAAGTACTTCACCTTCGAAGTACAGGTACGTGGCTTAAAAATGAAATACCTAATGAATATGTAACATATCGACCTAGATATTTTTGTATATCTAATATAACCTTAAACTTGCAGGTCTTGGATGATAAAAATGTTCGGAGAAGGTTTAGAGCTAGTAATTACCAGTCAACAACTAGAGTTAAACCTTTCATTTGTACAATGCCTATGCGTTTAGATGAAGGCTGGAATCAAATTCAGTTTAATTTAGCTGACTTTACAAGACGTGCTTATGGCACAAATTATGTTGAAACTCTAAGGGTTCAAATTCATGCAAATTGTCGGATTAGAAGAGTATATTTCTCGGACCGATTGTATTCAGAAGATGAGTTACCGGCTGAGTTCAAATTATTCTTGCCTATCCAGAATAAAACTAAAACTGCCATGGCTACTTAAAATGATACCAAAAGAAGTTTTGTCATTTATATAGTAAATGTAATGTTTAAGTCTATACTTTGTTTTTTATGTTATTTTATGAAAATTTCTATACACCCCTAAATGCCTTATATTATTGTATTTTATATACAAATAAATGTGCACAAAAATACTGTGTATTTGACATTTCATAACATAGATAAAGTTTACAAATTGATATGAATTAGATTTACTAGTAAACAGGTTTTAGCTGAAAAATTTATTGCTTGACAATGGACTGCTTACATTAAGTGGATCTATCACTGATACGTCTGTCCTTACGTATACGTTTTAATTTACGATCAGTGATAATCACTATAAGCATATGTGTTGCAGGTTTAGTAGATTGTGAAGTGTGTTCTTCAGTAAGAACATCTCCTTATTTATGTCTCTCTATAGGACATCCTTCCTTTTGAGTCACTTGTAACTCCAAGTTATTAGTGGTTTTGCTAGTTTATTTGGGTAATCCTCTCAATTAAATATAATATCAGTGAACATCTCTGGTATCTGGATAGTCTGGTTGATTTTAACAAAAATATTTTAGTTAAGGACCAGTAATTATACTTTTTAATATTTTGTTTAATAGTTTCACAATTTGGTACCTATAAAAAAGACCATTGACTTTGACTTGAGAAAAATAACATATACCTTTACATTCAAGACTTGTCTATATTTTACTAATAATAAAGTTAAAGAGTTTTATGTTTGTTTGGTTGAAATCTAAAATCATAAGAACTACTGGAACAAATGGTTTTTTTTTGTGGTAAACAGTCCGTTTATGGAGGAAGGCTATAGGCTACATTACGCTGATTTATAGGAGTGGAGCAGTAATGAAAAATTTTGCAAATACAGGAGAATATTTTACTTGTTTAAAGTTTTCCTAGCGTGTGCGTAAACGTTAAACGTAAACGATGAGTTACGCAAAAATCACATATTACGAAATTATCCCCTTTAAAAGCTTTAAAACATGATCGCGGCACCATACGTCTACGTTATATCTTAGCCCGAAAAAGCACATATAGGGATGAAAATGGAAGTGGAAGTTCGTGTAGTAGGGCATTAAATCGTAACCATAGTTTCTTACTTACTCTATGGTAACCATTGAAAAGTTTCATGATGTTGATATTATATTTAACACAAAAATATAATAAAAATATAGGGTTAAACTAGATTAAATCTGAAATCAAAATTAAAATCCGTTAAATGACCAAGTTATAGCTCTTTAAAACTATAAACTAAACTGTTTTCGTACAGAACGTCTTTGGCCTCTGACTCGCCTGTGACGTCCCATCACTGTGTAACACCACAAATTAAATAGAAGTCTGCAAAAAAATTCTAGTAACTAGGTACTCTAGCGTTGTTTTTTTAATAATGATAATAATAAGAAAATGACTAAAATATTCAGAGGGCTCTACAGCATATTTTTACGTATTCCAATCTTAAAAATGAGGAAGTATTTAAAAAGAAACATTAGAGCCTTTTTAATAAGTTAGTTAAAAGGAACGGAAATGACTATCTTTGGTCCAGTCGTTTCCTGCAAAAATCAACTTTGGTAGAGTCGGCATCTAGTGAGGTGCTTTTGTGTTTGCTAAAGAAAGCACTAATTCTTTTTTTTATACTTCATCGTTAATAGTGATAAGGTTGACTACATCACATCACCAGTCCTTTTACGTCCCCACTGCAGGGGCTCAGGCCTTCCTTATGGATGGTTAAGGAGGATGGGCCATGACCCTCCACGCTGGCCCAATGCGGTTTGGAGGGTATTAACGACTGCAAATGCAGCCGGGACCAACGGCTTAACGTGCCTTCCGAAGCACGGAGTAGCTCGAGATAATAATATTTTGGTCACCCATCCCGTGACCAACCCTTACGAAAGTTGCTTAACGACTACGATCGCGGGCCGCGGCGCTTATCCACTACGCCACCGAGCTACTCAAGGTTGACTAAATTTAAATTAATATTAGAATAATGAAGGAGATAAAACAAATGTTTGATTATTAATGATAACAATATAGAACTACTTATCTAAGGTTCATAAAGTTCATTTTTGTAATTATTATTTTTCGGAGTTATAAGTCCTGTTCTATAGAACTAAGCCCATGGCGCACAGATATTAGTCAGCCAAAACGTTGATTGGTCAAAAAGGAGATTATAAATAGAGAGAGAGAGAAAAAGAAACTATGGTCTTATAATGATAACATTATCATTTAATAATAATGGAAACAAGATATTTTTTTACATATAATGAGTTAAAAAAGTATTCACCTATCCAGTTGTTGGATCATCTCAAGTCCAAGCATTCTTATCTGTTATGTAATCGGATAACTTTTAATAAGCTTTTTTAATAAATATTTTTTAAATAGTAGATTTAAACTGCAGATATCTAATTATTGTATTTTGCTTGGGACCTCATTGTAGAAACGCACACAAAGACCCCTGAATGAGTTATTCATTTTTTGCAGTCTAGTGACAGGTACCGTTTATTTATTTTTATTTCTTGTATTAAAATTTTGTACATCACTTTTTATAGAAAACATACTAATATTTTTAAACAAAACTATCTCGTGATCATCCCTTACGAAATAAGACAAGTCATTTATGTAAATTAAAAACAAGAAAGGACCAAGTATTTAGCCCTGCGGAATACCCATCTTAACTTTCGACCCAGAGGATCTTTTGCCATTGATATCAACCCTTTGTCAGTCAAGTATGAGACAATAAAATCCAATGAGTTATCTCTAAATCCATAATAATGAAATTTTCTAATCAATGTTTGCCTTAGATAGGTCACAGAAAACACGTGAATCCTCCCAGGCATCATAAATCTCTTGTATTAACTTGACACAGGCATCGGTTTTTGAGCGACCCCTTGTAAAACCAAATTCTTGTCGTTTCATAAGGTCATTCTTGTAAAAGTATGTTTGTATTTGATGATTTTTTCAATAATCTTACTAAACGTAGGTAGCACGGATATAGGTCTAAAGTTAGTAGGGTCAGATGTGCTACTCGATTTATGTAAAAAAATAATTTTACTATATTTCATAAGCTCAGGACAAATACCACAATCAGTACATTCGTTAAATATATAAGCTAGAATTGGAGCTATAGTCTCAATCATTCCCATAAATCAGCGATTTACTTTTTCTTTAGCTGAATAAAAGATTTTATTATATCCTTAAAATCAATGTGTTGAAACTTAAATTGGCTATGAAAATTATTTAAACTTGCCTTTCAAGTAGATTCAGCAACAGTGGAAGAGGAATTCAAAGATTGTGTCATTAAGATTGGAATTTCAGTAAATTAATTCTTAAAATACTGTAGCAACTTCAAGATCTGGTGTTACTTTTTTATTATCAATGTTTAAATTAAAATCTGTATTCCGGGTTTTTTCTTTTCCAGTTTCACTATTAATGATATACCACGTTATTTTAACTTAATCTTTACTGTTTTTATTTTTGCATTGAAATATGTAATTACATTTGGCTAAACGACACACTTTTTTAAATAATTTAGAGTAATTTCGTATATATTCTTTGAAGTCCTCACTTGTGTTAAAATAACGTTTATCATATAGTTCATAGAGCCTTTTTCTGCTTTCCTGGTGTATTGCGTAACTTTGTTGGACAACTAATTTTGATAGCCACTGACAAAGTTGACATCAAATATCTGTCAAACTTCGAATTTGTTATTGGCTAACTTGAGTGTCCATCAAAGATGACGTCACGGGACCGTTGTACACCGTAAATTATTTTGACAAGCGTTGCCGTATCGATAGTCTTAAATTGATATTGTGTAAGCAAAGTGGCTATCAAATATACTACAAAGTGCTAATCATTTAAGTTCTCAACAAAGCCGTGAAAGGAACGGCTATGGAGCAGTGTTTTATCAATTTCTACTGTTGAGCACTATTACCCGACTGCGTTGAATAGACAGAGCTGAGATAGAAATCGTTTTAATTTAGGTTTTACTGAAATTTGCGAGATAATATCTGTGTTTATTCAACAAGTTTCTTTGTTTGTATTGCGTTATGTTAAATAAACAATTCTTATTTCGGTTTTATTGTTCAAAATACTATTGCTCTCGAAAGAAGTTTCTTTGGTTTTGATTGCGTTAAATAAAGCTAATGTTGAAAACAGTTATAATTTTGTATTCACTGGACTTTTCAAGATAATATTGTTTGATTTACGGAGTTTCTTTGTATGCAATCCGACAAAATACCAATCTATTGATTATGGCGAGGCCTTATTTAATGGAATTTGCTGAGGAAGAAAGAAAGAGAAATCTGTTAAGAATAGAGAGGCGTCGATGTCGCGATATGAGTGACCCTTTGCAGTTGCCTGAAAATGAGTTTATTGCTCATTTCCGTCTTAACAAAGATGGATATCAGCGGCTTCTAATGGATATCACACCACATTTACCAGTATCCCGACGAAGAACAGCTGTGCGCAATGATATCAAGGTTGGAATATGCCTATTATTTTGAAAGATATGTTTAAAATGTTATCTTTGGATCTAGGTTCTCTATTTCTTTGCAGATCCTTGCAGCATTAAACTTTTATGCTAATGGATCATATCAGCGGAATGTTGGTGCCTCATTCTTGTGCAATATGTCTCAACCAACCTTCAGCAAGTGCTTACATGAAGTTACTGATGCACTGAATGTTCGGGAAATATTATTGAAATATATAAAATTTCCCTCTTCCCAGAATGAGAGAGAAATAATTATGAGAGAGTAGGTATATTGATTAAAATGATTATAATATTTTATTATTGAACATACAATTTAAAATTAACTTTTTTTAGCTATATGGAAAAATTTGGATTTCCGGGTATAATTGGATGTATTGATGGCACTCATGTAGCTATAATCCGACCCATAGAACATGAAGAAACATATTTTAATAGAAAAAATTACCATTCACTAAATGTTTTAATAGTAAGTAATATAATGTATCTAATTTGTTTAAGTATGCTAGTGATGATGATGTTGTGAAATAAAAAGTTTGATATATATTTCAGATATGTGATGCTAAATTGAACATATTGCATGTCGATGCTTCCTTTGGTGGTGCTTCTCATGATTCCTATGTATGGAATCAATGCCCAATTAAAACATATGTGGAAGAGCTAACAAACAATAGAGAACATTGTTGGTTACTTGGTATGTATTCTAATGAAAATATCTTGA